CAGGAATGAATAGATGTTAAGCTAGACTAGCACTGCGAGTAGAATGTGCACATCTCACCTCTGCAGTAACACACCAAGAGAAGTGCTGGATTCTCTTTCGTTTCAAGATCTTAAATTAAGTTTCACTACATTTCTAACATCTGCATTCAAGATACTGAATGCAAACACCAGATGAAATTCTCAGGTCTATTAACTCGTGAGAGCAGTTGAATATAATGATTTTCCCTTACATCCATGTACATTTCAGCAGCTGATGACAGGCCTTTCAGTGAAGGTTTGATATTCCTAACCACGGGTTCTTTTGGCTAAAAGGTTAGGCTATAAGAATATTTACCTCTTCCTTCTTAGTTTCATGTGCTCGCTGGACAAACCAGATTACTTTTGCTTGTAAGGTCCGAGGGGTGCACTCCAGAAGGGTACTGTTGTACTCTATTCCATAAACAAGTCTCTCCTCAGTCTTCTCCAGGACTTCACCTGCAAGGAAAAGAAATGTTTTAAAAATATGTGTTACTGCCAATGTTGCACTCCGTGTTCAGGATATATTTACTTATAAGAGTAAAGTTGAATTTAGATCCAACCAGATAGTGACTGAAAAGTAGTGTCTGGTGAATGTCTGACCTGCTGAGTGTATTTTCTCATCATCTCAGACTCACAGGATCTGGCCATAAGATAAAAGAATCAAATTTTGCCATGATTCGGGAAAGATTTTACACAAAGAAACAGACTCAGCCTTTCACACTGCTAATTGCTTGTTCCTGGTTCTTATGAATAGTGCATCTATTTCATTTTCAGTTGGTGAAACAGAAGGATTCAATACATGCCTAAATATAATAAATAATTACATATTTTTAGGGATAAAAATCAGAACACGTAGCCTTTTGCAGCTTGAAACTCTTAAAAACTATAAATATCCTAACCAATATTATACATATCTATGTTATACACATGTAAAATGAATGTTTAGCTTTGGCCCAAGAGTGCTAATAAAAACAAGGTGAATGAAATTAATCAAAACTCAATTCTGCTTTTCTGTCCAACAAAACATCTGGAGGAAGATAAGCTAGATGTTACACTGGAGGAGGCCAACTGCCTCATTAATATTCACAGTAGTGAAAAATATTTTTGAGACCAAGCAGTTTTATACCCTAAAAAAATAAAAGGTTTGATACCAGTGTGATTTCTTTGTTGCATTTCAAACTTGCTGTATAATTAATATTTCATAATGGAATATACTTTTCCAAAATTTACTATATACTCCAAAGGACTCCAATTTTAATGAAGCTTTCTCTGGTAAAATGTCTAGCCTATACTTAATATTTAAAATATCCTTTTTTTTTACTATCTATCTAGAAGAATCTTTTATACTTGATTTTCTTTCTTCTAGAAATGTATTGGGTGTTTTCGTGCAAAACAGTGAGAATGTCCAGGCAACGGTTTTCTGTCTGTTTTGTCATTCCTCTTATCAGTGTTTGAAATCAACACTTCCAAGGTTTGGAAAACAACGTTAGACACAATAATCTATAATTTTTTAGGACAAATCTTGATAACAATCATAAACATTTGTATTCTGCCATGTTATAGCCCATGTCTGTGTTAGGGAGCTCCTTTAATTCCCAATTCTGGCTGAGTGTCCTCACAGTATTTCGTATTCATTTCAGAATTCAGCCCTGTTGTTTCCTATCTCCACCCATCGTCCCACTTGCATTTCCATTGGAAGCCCTTGAGATGTATCAGCCACATTCCTCATCTGAATGACAAGGCTGCAGGACTACATGAACACTGTGGAATGAAGGTGACCCACCATTGAAACAAAGTCATTTTTAGACCTGGATGACGTAGGCTCATCCCCATGATTCTTACAACTTTTTATAGGAATATGCCATTAAAAACTCAGGTGAGATCACGGTCTGGCTCATACTCTTGGCAAAGTCCGTGCTTTCTGCTCCAGGCATTTGCTAGCAATTTGTAAACGTGTGAGTAGATTACCAATGAACTGTTGGCCAAAGCACTGCTGCGCTGCATTTCCGTGTCGAACATCTTGTCTGCGGAAACGTCTGGAGGGGAAAAAATGGAATCGTTTGAGATAACATGTTTAGCTTACAGATTGTTGGGTTTATGCTAAAATGGCATTCGTTAAAAACATGAGGAGCTAAATCTTGATTCCTGAAAATTTAACGCTATTGTGAGAAGTGCTCACTTACGCGTTGGTATTTTCTCTCTACTCGACATATTGGGAATCACATGCCTGAAGAAAAACCCCACACTTGTCTAGGGAAGAGGCACAACTATGCGTCCTGTTTATACTGACTACATTGATGTTATAAGTACTAAAACAAGATGCTCTGAACCAACTGGGAAACATTCAGTACTAGGAAAAGTCAAAGGGACCTTTAGCCTGTCTTTGGATTCTCTCCCTATGGAAGCCAAGGAAATTTTCCTCCTTTAGTTTAGAAGAGTTTGCCCTGTACGTGAATGGTAGTCCTTTAACCCTTCACTTTCCTGTTATTTTTTTCACTTGGAAATCTCAAAGTGTAGAGCAGATACTTTATTTTATGACATCTGAGTTGTTAAGCTCATTTTTCTCAATAGGGAAACATCTCATGCCTGGAAAGTGAGCTAGTTGCAGAACTATGGTCAGAACCTAGGAGCCCTGGCTGAGACCTGGAAATAATGCAATTGCTTTTCAGAGAAAAATTGTTGTGAGTTTTGAGCTTCGGAGTTTTTATATACATTTACAGAAAAATAATTAAAACCATAATTGTGTGATGTATTCCCAGAAGAATTGTGCTTTTATATGGCAATATTTTTCTCTGAGTGTCCCGATAATTAGAATTAAGATTGTTTACTAGGGAAATGAAAGAGCCTATTGGAATGTCTTATCTTGCCGGATGTATTATTTCCAACAACCTGAAAAATACTAAGAATACCTTTGTTGTATTTGCACAAAGAGTATTTCTACACAGTATGACCAATGCCATACATAGCAAATCAACAGAAGTATGCAATGCAGAAAATCTTACAAGCAGGTATGTGTACAGTATAAATCATATATGATAGAAACAAGCAAAGCCAACCAGTTTCGCTATTCTTTGCATTTACTATTCAAATAATGCTTTTCTCCAGTGCTATGTGAACACAAAAGACAGTATTTTTATTTGATGCAAATGGAATTTACTGATACTGTGTAGATTTATACTGTCTAAAGATCTTGCCCATAGATGTTACTCATCATATATCTAAACTGGTAGTAGACAGTGATTATTTTCTGAGTTCTGTCACCCATATGGATGTCTGATCCAGTGATGCTGGTGGACCAAAAGGACAGCTTTAACCTTTACTGATATTCATAGCAGAACCAATGTTTTGCCATTGTTGTTTCAGGGGAATCTACAAATTCAGTGGGGACTGCTTTGGGCCTTTCAGGCAGAAGCGCTAAAAATACATGCATATTATTAAATAAAACCTGAGATTCTGAGATAGCTTCAGGGCTTTGGGAGTTCTCATTATAACGTATAGATAGATGCTGCAGCCGTGCTTTCTGATAACTCTGCAATTTGACAGTGCCGAATAATGCTGCCACCAGCTTTGCATATGTGTGTATACTGATTATTCATAAGAGACATTCTCTTGCACAAATATACATAAACACTATAGACATTAGCCTTGAAAAAATCAAACAAGAACACCCACTGCTGTGAGGCCTGGCAGCCCGATCTAGCAGGAACAAGACAGTCAGAAGGCATGTACTATTTGCTCTTCAGTTCCTCAAGATCACTGCAGAGCTAAAAAAAATCCTAGTCCTATAAGATAGGATATTTCTCCAGTTGTTAGAACCATTCAATAAAAATAAAAGTTCATTTTATGGAATTTTGTTGTTAATGTGAAGACTGGGAAAGACATATTTACCTGTGCCTTCACTTGCTATTTTTTTGAAGAGAAGGAAAAATTGGAGAGAGGTGGTGAAAGAGACAGAGATTCTAGGAGATAAAATTATTTCACAGATACTGATATGAGCCTGGTATTTGTTATTTTTTCTGAGTAATCATTGCATTCAGAATTCCATGAATAATGAAGTATTAGACAATTCCTGAGATAAACTGCTATCAGGAACAATTTTCAGTGACTAGCAAATCTACTGAATATATGGACGTGTCTTTTACAATCTATAACTTCATGAATTTAGTTTTCAGTCTGTAACTCTGCACTTTCAGCGACTTAGTAAAAATGATCTCCAAGAAAGCAATACAGTCGTCATCATCATCATTACCATCAGCCTCGTGTTTCTTTATTATTCCCCGGGGATAGATGAGCCAAACTCGAAATGGCCCAGGGAGAAAAGGCATCATTGTCATTTGTGTGAGTGAATCAGCTGGCTGAGTTTGGGGTTACCCAATCGAATGTTCCAGCAGACTGGCATGCGGCTTAGCGCTGGGATTTAGCTGCAAGGCAAAGGCAGCCGCTTAACTGCCCGCCCTGCACAGGCCAACTGCCACAGGGTGACTGTCAGCTTCTTAAAATTAGCTAAAGAATCACAGGTTACCAGACCTACCCACGCTGAAAGACATTTTAAATTTACTTCTGTCCTTTTTCAGCCTGGATGGTCAGCTGGCGCAGCAAAGAATCTCACTTGTAGGATGCAGTGCTTGTTTAGATAAGAATTGAACCTGACTAAATCAGATTGCAGAGATAACAGTGAGCTGAAGCATTTCTTTAAGTCCTGGAGGTCTCTGCTTTCTCAAGTGCACTTCATGGAAGTGGAATGCAATATAATTTCCTTCTGGCATCTTAAGTATTTGCAGTATGAGGAGCTATACACCTGTAACTACCAAGAGATTGCAGTGTAGCTTCAAGATTTGAGATTTTGGGCTTAGTTTTCATTTGTCTTTAATTAAATCCTATATCTAATTAGTTATCCAGGACATGCATTTACAAAGAATTATAATATAGGCTTTCACAATTCAACAAATTAGCACCAGCTGTCAAGCAGGGAGTTTTTTGTATTTATGCTGCAGTTCTCTCTGTATCGTGTACATGCCTTAGTTTACAGTTTTTCTGTTTCATGTTTCTCTAAACGCTTGTGATACCTTGGAGGCATTAGGATCTAAAGCAGAGAGTGTTTGAATCAAGCTGAAGAGGACACATTGTACATTCCCACTTCGGTTCAACTCTTTACCAGTAGGACTGGAATTAAAAAGAGAGTTCTCAGCAGTGCTCTTACTGCACTAGCAGGGCTGCTCTTACAAGTCAAAAGCCCGCCTAAATGTACTGCATGAGGGACACATATGAGCAGATAGTGGTGGTATTAAAGCCAGCTCAAGTGCCATTCTATGATTCTATGATTCTAAGTCCTGATGAAGGAGGGCTGCCAGGAACAGGGGCAACAAGTGCTCTCCAATGCCCCTTGTACTCACATTACTCGTACTACCCTGTGCAGCTTGAGCAGAAATCTGAAGCCTTGAGACAAGGCCAAATCAAGCTGTGTATGCTGTAGGACATAGTGTTAATTGTATCTGGAGCCCAGGGCAGCCATGGCAGGGTTATTGCCTGCTCAAGGTCACCTGGTGTCAGAAAATTCCGTATTTTCTACTGAGACCTGCCTTTTCCAGCAGTGTTCTCCACTTGGTACCTGTGAGAGTCAACTTAAAACAACTTCCATACATATGTCTTGATTAGCTATCCCTGTCTCTCCATGTACCACACACTTAGTGTAAGCTCGTAAGTTTAAAATGCTGTGAGCTTCAGCTCTGAGCTAAAACGAACAAAGCAAGTGCCATCCATCCCTCTCAATACTATTGGTTCTTACTGGTTGCTCTGCAAACTCTCATATGTAAAACAAGTTTTACAAACTTCAAGAACATTCAATTGAGTGCAAATCCCTTCTCCCCTGCTGCGGTGCTTATCTTAAGAGAAGGAGGGTGATAACAGCAGTATTTTCTTCTTTTAGAGACTGACCTGCTGAATGTTGGGGAGGTAAGGCGCAGGAAGGTGCCTGGGGTGCTGCTCATATCACTCAACCCTGGATAAATGCGTATGTCAGGGGCCTTAAGGACTGCTACTCTGGAAATTGTCTTAGGTGAGAAATATGTTAAAAATGTACAACAGAGTTCAGGACCCAGTGAGTTTCTCTTATCTTTTCTTAGACAATAAGTAGCCTGCAGACCAATGTAAATGCTGATACAGTCCTAGCAGGCTGCTGGAAATTTTTTTAACACCTCCCTTCCCTAAATGACTTTCACATCATTAGATGAGTAGTCCATATGCTTTATAATTACAGTAATTTAATTTCTACTTATACTATAGAAATTAATCTTCCTGGTCCACTATATAGGTGCTCATCTCTTAATCTGGGACCTGAAAATTTTAGCCAGACTGTTCTCACATTGAGCAGACAACCAGAGCCCCCTTCCTCCCTTAGGTCTGTTTGCAAGAGGCACGAGAAGACTATCTTGTAAAAGTGGTGTAGATTTCTTAGTTGGTTTAATCTATGACATAGTGTAATAAGTCCAAGAGATTCTTAATTATGCTGAGTCATTGGCTGTATTTCTCATTTTTACATTTTAACGTGCCCTGCCCAAAAAGTCGGGTCACCCAATGCTTTCTCTTTTTATTATCTTTAAGAAAAATCCAGAGAAATGTTTGTTGTCCCTGACTATAGCCAGCAGTGCATTTGTTTGAGTGCATCCGGGTTCATGGAAAGATAAGGTGTGCAGGACAAGAAAAACAAAAAACTAAAAACCTTTCTGTTTTTCCTTAAAGGAACAATAATCAATTTGGGATACTGTGACTTAGTTTGACTAAACCACCTCCACTGGTTTTCAAAACTCAAGTTACTCAAATGACTCCAGTTATTCTAATCCTTGCAGTCCGTGTAGATATAATATGTACAAGCATATATTTGCAGAAACAGTAATTGTAATTGCTGCAATTGTTTTGCTGACTAAGGCTAGAAATTGCTCTCTCTAGTGGCAAAGCTGACTCAAAGTCTTGTGAAAAGGTTTGGATTAATATATGTTCTAGATGCTTGATCAAGTATCTGTGTAGCTGAATTGGAGAATCTGGCTTTGAGAGGGAAAGGGCGGGCATATGGGAAATTACTGCACAAGAGAGTGAAGACCAAGAGCCATGAACAAGTGAATGGTGATAGGAGAAGTCTCCCCAAGGGAAGAATTAATGCACTCAAATTAGGTTTGTGCTTTGAACTGGCCTCTAGAGAAACTTATCTTTATAAATTCTCTGGAGAACGCCTAAGCCTAACCTTAGCTTTTACAGATACTCTGGTTTCCTTTTGGCTGGTGAAGGTATTTGACTATTAACAGAAATTCTTCTCTGCTTTTTTGGGAAATTCTGTTGTATATGTTATTGTAGTGTGATATATTTGCTGTATAATGCTACCAAAACAGGTCTCTGTTGTTGTAAAGAATCTTTCCTCTCCACACCAAAAGATGGATAAGAAAATGGAAGTTTGTTTAAAACTTACTGTGAGTAATTACTAAGTGACTTTGCTTCATTCATAAAAATATTCCTGGTACTGCAGTTTATGCTGTCCTGTTAATCTGGATCCTTTGCAATCCCCTGAGGTTGAGCTAATAAATTAGCAGCTAACATATCTTTTTACTGCTCAGTTATTTTTGGGAAGGGGAGATATGATGTACTTTGTGTTGCAGTAGGAACTCTGTAGTAATAGCAGCTATTTTGCGACAAGGACATCACAGAAAGCAGCAGTTCTCACCTCTTTGCCTGCATTCCTGTGGGATAGTACCGGGAGCAGGAGATCCCGTCCCACGCGCAGTACGGATCTCGAGCGAGGCAGCAGTCCGCACAGGCGGTGCCGTACATGTCACACTGGTGGAACTTCACTTGCGCTATGACTGACTCCGAGCCAACATACAGCTGTTGCTGCAAAACAGACACTATATATGATTAAATTCCTAGAACTTCCACTAAAGCTTCTGTTACCGACAGAGTTCTTTAAAAATGTTAGCTTCAGCGTTGCGTGACAGTTGTGCGTCCAGTGTATGCCCTGAGGGAGGCAGAGTTACTCTGTAGGAAAATATCCGATTACAGACTAAACTCTCCTGCATGAGGACAGAGGAGAGAAAGAAGGCAAAATGAACAAGTTTATTTTGGCATTTCTTCTCATCTGAAGTTTCAGCTTTGTAAGCTTTATGTTTGACTAGGCAGGGTTTTAAGTTTCTTTTTCTTCCTTAAGACAGTTTCCAGTGCCCGCCTCTTTACACTTCTCTGTCACCTAACTGATCAGTGAAAAAAACTTGACATGAAAGACTTTAAATAAAGAAGTTCAAATTTGCAAAAGTTATAAGCAACCTTACAATCTTAAAATGGGAGCTGACAAGTAAATTTAACTCTTAAGGTGGCTCCTTACAATATGGTCACAAACACACATGTACAGTAGTACTATGGTTTGTATTAGCCCTCAGTGCGTAGGAGATGGATTTTTTTTTTTTCCTGGTACTGTGCAATCTTTCCTTACAAATTAACTGGTCACAATCTATTTCTTTAATATTTATTTGTAGAGGGCTGGAGTTTTTTCATCATTAGTGCTAAGACTGTTTGTCTTCTGAGTTCACATAAATGTCCTTTTCAAATCAAGCAAAAGATGATCAATTTGATTCATGAGTTGCTGGCATAATAAAATCAGAAGAGAATAGATTGAATTTACAGGGATTTGAGAAAAAATCTTGTTGCTATTCAATGTAATTAGAGCGAACACAGAAATACGCAGTGTGCACTACAACAGGAACTGCTTATGCACAGCTCACTTGCATGCTATTACCCGTCAGAAAAAGGATTCCTAATGAACACTTAAGCTGTGCTTGTCCTAATGGCCAAACTTAGTCCATAATTCCCACTCTTAGACCAAGTTTTCATAATCTGATATTTTAAAATTCTTAAAGCTTGAAAATGCAGACAGTTCATTTAGTCCAGCTTGCGTATCAAAAAACATGAAATTTAAAACTAGGAGAAACTGGTAACAGTAATGTTTGAAGACTTTTTCAGCTGAGGTAAACCAAATGATAGTAGCAGGAACTCAGTCTGCCGACTGAAATGAAGAAGAAATCTAGGATCCTTGTTTGAGAGGAATTCTTTCTTGTCTACAAAAGCTGCAGTATGGTTGTCCCAGAAGATATGAACAACACTCAGTAAGACATATGAGAAGGGATTTTCTCTTTCATCTTTTAGCAGGAGTAAAGACTACTCTAAGTCTTGATTCATCAGAGGAGGGCAAAAAGCATCCTATATCTATCCAAGAGAACATCAAAGAAGAGCATTCCTTCCCAGCCTTTGCAGATAACTAGCTCAGCCCTGAAACACGGTATTTTATTGTACAGCTAACTTAGTGAAGACTGGTTAGTGTTATAAAGATATTGAGGCAAAGGAGGTCTCCACAGGCCCACAAACTCCAAGTTCAAAAGAGACCAGCCAAAATGCTTGAGTAGAGAAGTTACATAACTTTTTTTCACATAAACTCTACTAAGTTATACTTCTGCTTACAGGTCTCATTTTAAAGACAAAATTACTTGGTGCCAACCTGTCCCTAACATGTATTGTGACATTAAATTGTTCTTAATACCAGAAAATTTCATCCTATATCAAGATTAAGTTCATTCAACAAGCTCAACTTGCTTATTTAATCTTGATATTGCTTTGCCATCAATGTTCAAGAATCCCTATACACTTACACTGGGACATCATTTTGTTGGATGAAGTTTTGTATCTGGCTATACTGTTATCTCTCAGTCTTTTCTCTGATATCTTGAAAAAGTTAAGCTACTTTTACTTCTCACAAGAAGTATCTTGTGTTATCTTTATCTTCTCACAAGATTCTTCAACTGCTAGATTGCTTTGGCAGCTTTCTTACAATTCTCTCTAGATTTTCCAGATACTTCTTGAATTAGCTGGGTGTAATGGAGGAAGACTACCTCACATACAGCATTTTTACTCTTCCAACACAACTCTTTTTCCATGACATTTCACTGAGAGCTAAAGGTAAGGCAAATATCTGAAATAACACTGAAGTCTTTCTCCAAATAATCACTTATATGCAGTGTTAGACAATCCAGAGCTGTTTTTCACATGAGAAAAGAAAATAGGTTGATCCAGGCAAAAAATCAGAGTACTTACACCTAAGATACTCCTCTGAATCATTAGCAGAGGAGTTTATCTTTCTACATTACTTACTGAAAGTATGCAAGTTGACTGGACACCAAGACAAAAATGATCTTTTGGGGCACACTCACACTTCCTAGCAATGCAATTTGCATTCTTTGTTACTTATGTTTCACTATGTTTATGTGCACCTATATTGCATCAGATGTCTAAGATCTATTAAGATTTCATAGATTTCATAGATTTCATAGATTTCTAGGTTGGAAAAGACCTTAGAGATCATTCAGTCCAACCGTCCCTAATCTCCCATTAAACCTTATCCCTCAGTAGTTCATCCACCCTTTTCTTGAACACATCCAGGGATGGGGACTCAACCACCTCCCTGGGCAGCCTATTCCAGTGGCTGACAACCCTTTCAGAGAAGAAATACTTCCTAACATCCAACCTGAATCTCCTCTGACTAAGCTTATACCCATTTCCTCTTGTTCTATCCTGGGATGTTTATAATGGCTCTACCCTCAGATGATATGACGATACGGTACAGATATCTATGATGTGATATAGATGAGAATCTACCTACAACAGTAATAAACTGGGTGTTTATATTAACAGAAACTGGCAGAAACTCAAAAGAGGAGTCAGATTCAAGCAGCCCGGCCTTTCATGGGCAACTGAGTAGGTGGGAGAGCCAGTAAGGCTCTTTTCGCACTGATGTCCCCATGGGGCTGAAGTTTAGTCTGCATTTATCAGTGAGAAACTTTCCTGTGAGTTGCCATATCTACCAAGCTAACCCCTACTGTGATTACTATGCTAGTAACTCATGAAACAGATTGGTTTTTACTTGTTTTGATATGAATGATAGTGTGAACTAAGGAGATTTAACATCAGAATTGAAAAACATAATTGCTTTATAAAGGAGCAGAGCATATAACCATAACTTTATATTACAAAATGATTATATGTATCAGACTAGATCTCATTATAGATGATGTACATCCATCTGTCTGTCTATCTATCTATGTATTTATCTGTCTCTATACAGTTTATTGCTTCATTACGTTTGAGTCACAATCTTCACATTTCAAACTTGCCAAATACTTACCCTTTTGGAAGAGATTTCCATAGAAATAATAGGAACTGGCACCTAGAAAATAGGAAATATTTATTTGTTTTTTTTTTAAAAAAATCTTTTTGCTATGACAATAAATCAGGTAAAATGTTGATGTTTACTTATTATATTCAGCTTTGCTACACACTTTGACTTTTTTGAAGTTCTGATGCTATAGAAAGATGTGAGGAGATTACAACTTTCAGAAGTATTGCTTTAAAAGAATTTATTTAAAAACAACCAGCCAACACTTAATTCAGGATTATCAAAGACACAGGAACAGTACAATTTCCCTGTCAAACATGACATTAGCTCTTGTCACCACTGAATCTCTGTTGTCCTACTTGAGAGTGATAAGTGGAGTGTTCTTTATAACAAAACGTTCACTGAAGATAAGATAAAAATAGCAGGAATTCCTTCTTTTACCATTGTCCTCTCTGCCCTCTGCTCAGATTTCCTGGAAAAATGGCAAGACATAGCCCCTAATAGGTCTATTGAAAACCAGCTTTATCAAGAGGGACAATTTCAGTGATTCGCCCCCAGGCAACAAGTCAATAGTTACACTGCCTAAATGCGGGTACCGGATTTCAATATTTGTGTTTGGATGTGAGATTTTCCCTAGGGCTGCAAGCAGGTTAGCCTCCTACTTGATGTGGCTAACATGACATGATGCGAATGTAATTAAATTAGCTTTGTCTCATACCAAATACTGAGCTTTAATCATGGGTTACTATTAAACCGAATGGAGTTTTGCCTCACCGGGACTCAGGTTTGCCCACTGTAAATACAGATTAACTGATTTGCTTTTTCTGAGAATTGGGCTTTTTTTTTATCTAGACTTCATTTAAACTTCCAAGATTGTACTAGACATATTCTTGTGTATGTAGTTATACTCCTCTAAATGCTTAACTGGATATGAAGGAAAATGAAATAAAATGCAAGCTTCTGATCAGAAGTCGCACTAAACCTCCAAGCATATTAACACAAAAATAGTAGTCCTAGTTTGCTGCAACATGCTTCAGTACTTGGGCTATAACTTCACCTCAGAAAAACTTTGATTGAAAAAAAAAGATTTCCTGTCATAAAATAACTAGATCATTAGAAAATTTACTACAAAAAATATTATATATTTAACAATCTTGATTTTTTTTGACATTTTAGTTCTGCCAAAAATTTAAGACTATTGTATATATGCTTCATATACAGCACAGTTCACCTTGAATACTTGCAGCTCTTCAAGAATCACTTCTTCCATTGATTCTGTCTCTTGATTATAAATTGTAATGACTTTCAGCACAATTCCATTATCTGGGAATAAATTTAAAAAGAAAAAAACAAAACTAAAGGTTATAATTGGTGGAAAAATTTACATGACTTTCAAATAATTAAATGACTTCTTCAAACTGATAATGGATAGCAGTTTATAAATATATACAGGTAATTGCATATTGGTGTTGTTGATCAAAATTCTTACTCTTAGAAAATAAACACATATGACAATTTGTCCCTGGCAAATGAGAGTCAACTGAGACAGCCTTGAGCTGTATGATTAATTGACTGGTATTTTTCAGACCCTGGGTCATAGCGCTTTCACAAGCTGCAGAAAGAACAAAGAGAGTGACCATATTTCAGAAAAAGAAATGAGAGTAAGCAGGAGCCGAGTCCATCAAGGTAAGGGAGTGTAAAGTGGCCTTAATTATAGGATCTGAGTGTTTACACTAGTTAGGAAACTACTAAGTATCCTTAATTGCTGGCAGGAGCTCTGTTCCTCCAGGCAAGAGTACAAACCCTTTCAGGGGTTCATTGTCCAAAGTTCTCATCCTTCTCTAGGGAAACAGGGAGCTGCTGTTGAGCTGAGCACATTAATCAAAGGAAGATGAACCAAAAAAACCCCCTGCACATTCAAAAATTCTAAGGCACATTGGAGTTTAGATCTATCGGCCTCTCTATTACTAGAACTCTTGCAGGAAATTAAAACACACAAATGGCATCTGGTCTTCTACCACTTTGGCTTTGTCTTGCTGACTGTTATGAGAATAGTCTTGTTTTCCTTAATCTGAAAGTCTGTCATCAGCAATGGCAAATATCACTTCCTTTCCTCTGTTACTTTCAGTAACCTTTGATTTACAGGGGAAATATTAAGCAGACAAACACTGGGAAAAATGTTCAGCAAAAGATCAAAGGGGAAAACATAAAGAGGAACCATCAAACTGTGGTCATACACCACTTCTCAAAGAGAATATGTAATCAAAGACATCCATTTTGTGATGGAACAGTAAAAAGAAAATGCTTTCTGAGCTCTGATTTTCATAAGGTCATCTTCGAATCCTGCTGACAGACACGTGAAAGTCAGCCCTGATGTTCAGACTTTGCTTTTGATGAACCTTTCTAACCTGTACTGTTACCCTGAGGAAACTGATGCTCAACTGTAGGACTTTTACTTACTTGTGTTAAACAGCAGGTGTTGGGCTTGGATAAAAAAAAAAAAAAAAGATTAACCCTTTCTAAACATTATATTGGCAAAAGAAGCAGCGAGTTTTTTGATGGGAGCTTTGCCAGCGCGGAGATTGCAGGGTTCGTTTTAGGGTTTCTAAAGCCCAAATTCCTATGTTGGAATTTCTTGTCACCTGAGATTAGACATCTTGAGAAGGCTAAAGAGCTGTTGGATGCCAATCCAGCACAGGTCTAAAGCACACACTTCAGTCTGCTTAGAATCAAATTTGCTGAACAGAGGACTTGTGTACAAGAGCATTTGATGCAATGTCTCAATCACAGATGCAAGTGGAAAATGTGAAAAATCCAGACACCACTATAAAATCTGCTGTACAGGAATGACACATGAGACAATGTTTTATAGACCCCACTAAGTCCAATACTGAGACCATACTGAGGTCGTTTAAAGCTTAGAAAATAGCATTAATATAAATAAGCCTTGCTATTCTACAAACATGCTTCTTTTGAATGTTCTCAACACTGAAATGTGCTTATCAGAGGAATTTCATTAGTAAAAAATAATTCACTCTAACTGCTTTCCTAGACAAAATGGTCAAAATGATTTGTGATACCACTCCTGTTGTTAAACTGATAAAATGTGAATGTATGAATCCTTGGATTTTTTCCAGACAGATTATATGTGACTTAAGTCTTGTCTAGTGCCAGGCTTTCCCCTTATTTTCTTCAGTTTTTGTATTTTTGAAATACCATTAGAACGTGGTGTTTTTCTCTGGTTACTTAGAGTTAGGACAGGTCTGATATATTTTACCTTAATCATTTTGTTTGGTAGATGTTTAAAAATCCTCTTTAAACAAGCTTTCTGTATCTTATGAAAATGGCACAAGAGAAAGACAAGAAAACTTGGCAGAAAACTTCTAACAGTTTCTTTTTAAGAAACTTGGGTATTTCCTCCTTCCTTGGGCTGTGTTGTATTCCAAATCTGGAAGCTGGTAGTTTCTTTTTCACGGTACCAGCTAGACTTCTGGTCTCCAGAATTGGGGAAAATAAGCTGTGGAATAAAGTCAGTAACTTGAACTGATATTTTTGAAAATCTTATCTCCTTTGTTTCTCTCAGATCTCTAGGTCTCAGCTCAGAACTATGCTCAGAAACATGATTGTGTTCTGAAGTTTTAAAAATAAAGCCAGTAGTTCATGAATTTAATTTAAGGTTCTTGTTTGGAAAGGAAAAAAAAAACGGAATCTTATACTTAAGTTTCTCGTCCTAGTCCTTAAATGTTTCCCTACCATTATTTTTCTATATCAGCACAATGAAGCACATGTCTAGAATGATTAGTCTCCTCTATATGGTGAAGACTGGCACAGTCAAGCAAAGAATGATTGTTAAAAATGAGTGGTTCATTGATTATTTTTTTATTTTTGAACTATATACATCTGAAATTTTTTCATCCAGGAGGTAAAAAAACTCTATTAAATCAATTGTATCCCTTGCTTTCTTTAACTTACCTGTGCCAATAAACAAGACATCATATTGCCCATCTTCAGCTTCCACTCTGTCCACTGCTATTTGTTTAAGGTTGTATTTTCCATCTGTTTTAACTAGTATTGGTCTCTTATGAACAGGCCTGATGGGCTGATACATCAGTGGATGACTCCTGGCAAAATGGACAGCTTCATCAGGATAGTCTTTAGTGGTAGTGTACAGACCGCCATTCACCTTGCTGGCACACTGCAAAAACATAAAACAGAGATTATCCTGAAAGTTTCCCAAATAAATTGTCAGAGACAGGTCTTGTTTTCAGGGGTAATGACAAGTTTACAGAAACCCTGGCATAAAAACAAGTACAGAAGACCACAGTAGGAATTGAGACAGTGAAATCTATGCTTTATACACGTGTGGATTATCAATCATGAGAAGCCAAGAAAGGGAATTCTGAACAGAGCCTTGGCATTGTCATGTTTAGAAAGAGCGAGCTCCTTCCTCCCTGGCATACCAAGAGCAGAATAAATAGTGACGCTTTTAGATTTTGACAAAAAACAGTGCTTATGTCTTCCCTAAATTCGTATTGAAGATATAATCAAAATGACCATTGACAGAGTTAGGAGAAAGGGATTTCCTATCCCAGTAGAGACATAGCCATGTAAAGTCAGCAGAATCATAATGCTTGAAATCAATCTCTAGTCTTATTACTTTTGATTGCAAAATGTATTACCATAAGAAACGAAGCACACTTAAAAATGATGCCAGCAGCATCAGTAATTCTTGATCTCAGGCATTCTAACAGTATTACATTTGATTCTAATTCCTAACTCACGATGACAGTATTATATATCACAATTTAGCTTGAAATACCAATGTTTGCATTGATCAATCTACTGTTTTGCCAAGCAAATAAACTTTACATCAATGATTGATTAAAAGAGGCTTACTCCTTTGGTCAAATGTGCAATTAGGGATAATTTAATGCGTTAAACAGGGAAGTTAATTTTATGATGCTTTGTGAAGGACATAGTGTTCCCTAACTGAACATAGATTCTACATTTCCAATCTGCTTCATAATGTCTAATTGAAACCATTTATGATCAAGCTGGAAATATCTCAGTAACCATTTACTTTCTCCAAATATTCATAAGACAGTGTGGTTTTAAGAAGCATTTCAAGCAAAGCCACAGTAGCAGCCTTTCCCTATTTAAATTGGATTTTTCAATCAATAAAATGAAATAAAATACTCTTTATGTTTACTGGAAACAGTAATTTTAAACTTGTGGTCAACTGTAATTGACAGTAAATCCTGCACTTGTCAAGTGGGGCAGTGTTTGTTTCCACTTTTTGGGCTTAACTACAGAAAAGTATTTGTTCAGTGCTGGCTTTAAAGTAATTGTCTAATCAACCTAGTGATGGAATTTCACCCCTGTTTGCAATAAAGAGACAGGGCTGGAGCGTGAAGACAAGCTAAACCTTTGCTTTCTGTGCATTGCACAGCATATCAAGTGAATAGGAATTGCCAGGTTCCTTTTGCAAATTTCTAGCCCTGGAGAGATTTAATAAAAATAACCCTTCACAAACTTTTCTTTTTTAATTAAATAAAACCAAGTAGTCTAGAAAGGAAACAGTAGATGCAGTTGTCTCTGAAGTCTATCAACACCATTTTTGAGGCAACTGATGTCGTTTGCAGAAGCATCACAGTCTAAATGCACTAAAAGGATCAGCAAAACAGGAGCAGAGGCTATGGCAGAAGCAGTGCTTCAAGCAGACTTCAGAGAGCAGTGGATTGCAGAGTTTGTCAGAACCTGTGTGACTGAACAGTGCTTTTCTGTTTATTTAGCTTTAAGCTCTACTCTCATTCCTTATATACTCCATCTTTACCCATTCAATAGCTAAGACCAAAGCAAGCTGACTCTCAGAGACGCCTAATAGTAGGTTATTTTTGGCCTTTTGTCACAGTCACTCCTGTAATGGGAGAGGTAGTGGGATTCAGCTTACCAATATGCTGACCTTTTCTTTGGAGTATGAAACCTAACACCGTGGGCTACAGCCCGACACGTGCGTTCTCTTCACGCTACTGGAAAAGCATTGAAAAGACCTCTAAACTGTGTCAAAATGAGCAGCCAAAAATGAATCAATTAATCCTCTGCCAGCTGACAGAGCTAGCTACTTCAGCCTCTGATGTGCTCTGCTACATACAGAGACAAACATGATTAAATCAATTGACATCCAGGAAAGACCTGGTTTCTCAACTACCTTGTTCCATGACATCGGGGAAGTTACTTGCACTTTTCTATCTTTTTCGCTCCCATGCCTTGCCTGTTGGGGAGGCTACAATCCAGTCTGACCCAAATGTGGCTTTGAACAACCTGATCTAGGGGAAGGTGTCCCTGCCCATAGCAAGGAGGCTAGAATTAGATGATCTTTAATGTCCCTTCCAACCCAAACCATTCTATGATTCTGATTCAAAGCCAAGGGAGTGCAGCATGGAAAGCAAGTGGAGCTTAGGGCAGTCTTTCTGTAAATCATTGTCAACCTTGCTGAAGTGCTGGCTCAGTGTTCTCTCCTTCTTGCCAAAAAACACCATTTAATCTTCAGTGCTAGGAGATGTCAATGTAATGACTGTAGTCATTAAATACAGAATTCATGCCTGTGTTTAACACTAGTCTAAATAACGTATGTGAGGCGTTCTACTGCCTGGAAAAAACAAATGAATACCACTTAAAGAACTTGGACCATGTAATCTTTGTAAAATATACAGCCATTCTGCAATCCACGCATAGTACTGTTTCATTATCTGGTAAAACTGCAAAAACTGCAAATTTGCTATATAAAATGTTGAATAAGAAATCAATAATTCCTTTGAATTCAACCATTTTGCTCAAAATGTGTTAATTTACTTATCGGGTTTTCTATCCTAACTCAATACCAATGACTTTGATCTACATCAAGCTAACAAAAAAACATTTGCTATGGATGTCAGCACAGTTACAGTGGTAGCTTATTGGTCAAGATGGTAAAATCATATCCATAATGTTTAAATCCTTGATAATCTCTTTTGTGGAGCATCCGCTTCTGCATTTTGACTTACACCTCTAACCCCAAGAGAAGTAGAGGAAAGCATTAATTTAAAATGAGAGAAGACATGGATTCGAAGTCATACCACAGGGCGAAAGGCTGTACTGGCATGGACTAGATAAGCTAATAGGCCTTTTCACCTCTCATTCCTGTGATTCAGATATTATTTCTGCAAATGATTACTTTTAGTATAAAAAGAATATTGATTCAGTTGGCAAAGGAAGAACAACACTGAAAGTCATGCTCCAGCAACTGTTTATCCCGCTGTTCAGCTCAAGAGAGCAAGCTCCCAGCCTGTGAGAAGATGAAGAGATGAAGTGTGGAAACTGGAGGGGTGGTTAGTCAGATAGCTGTTAGAAATATCTCATAGAGTCAATTATCTGCACAATGCTGGCATGATAAAGGGTAGACCTTCAGCGAGTGTAAACAGAAGTAGTTTTGCAAAAGATTACAGTTGCCATAGGTGGATAAGTAGTTGTATTCCCAAAAGGTACGGTGCGAAGAAGAAATCCTGGATGTGGTGCTTCTTTGGGTTAGTTGGGCGTTGATTACAGTTGCCATAGGTGGATAAGTAGTTGTATTCCCAAAAGGTACGGTGCGAAGAAGAAATCCTGGATGTGGTGCTTCTTTGGGTTAGTTGGGCGTT